TATGTTTCTAGGTTTGTCAGCACCATACCCGTGCTCGTAGGTTTCACCGAAGTGGTATACGTCCAAGATCTGAATCTCTTCGGGCTTTCCTCCCACATCAAGCTGACACGCCGTGATATAACTGGAATACTGTTAAAAGCGGCGTTACACCAACGCCATTGCACGAGAGATCGGACATTATGAAAATGCACCAGTTATAATTACGACCATAAGTACTTAATATCACTGCATTATCCAAACTAAGTCAGTGGAGCAAGTTTACATTTCGACAGACCCTTACTTTCCTTTTGATAAATTTGAATACATTTCCAACCACATAGGGAACTACGTGTCCGAAGTTTTAAGTGTGGTTTCAAAGTACTTTCAAGTGTTTGAAAAGGTCCAACTCAATTAATTCAAGGACATAAAGTGTACGTCTAATTACTATGGCACGCGAATTTGTCAATAACATCATGCACGCCAGTTCTCCTAGTTTAGAACAAAGTGATGGGGCTCAAATTACCATGTTCATTACTAATTAGACCGATGGTGTATCCGCGCTGTCCACCCATACGGAAACTATACAGTGTGCTTGGGTTGACAATTGGCCTCGAGGCCCTATCTGCCAGGACAAGTGCTTCCGATCTTCCATTTCACACCAAACAACCACGCGATGGGGGTGGCGCGGCCGGGATCTCACTTGGCTGGGATTGTTGTTAATTTCGTTAAAGATAGACATCGAGTGATACTAAAAAGCTGGCAGATCCATGGTATCATGTGGTCGCCGGTCCGTCTCTCACTTGGATTATAGTTAATCGCATTAAAGTAGACATCGAATATTACTAAATGGCTGGAAGATCTATGCTATTACGTAATATTCGGTGGGACTCTTTCTTGGATTATATTTTAATTTCATTTAAAGGTAGTCATCGAGTAATATTAAAACGTTTGAGGTTATGCGGCAACACGTGATCTCACTGGCATTGTTGTTAATTTTATTAAAGGTAGACATCGTGTAATACTAAAAGGCTGGAAGATCGATGTTAACACGTGATCGTCGGTGGGGCTCTTTCTTGGATTATTTATAATTTCATTAAAGGTAGTCATCGAGTCATAATAACAGGTTTGAGGATATGCGGTAACACGTGATCTCCTGTGGGACTCTCACTGGCATTGTTGTTAATTTTATTAAAGGTAGACATCGTGTAATACTAAAAGGCTGGAAGATCGATGGTAACACATGATCTTCGGTGGGGCTCTTTCTTGGATTATCTTTAATTTCATTTAAGGTAGTCATCGAGTCATACTAACAGGCTTGAGGATATGTGGCAACACGTGATCGCCTGTCGGACTTTCACTGGGATTGTTGTTAATTTTATTAAAGGTACACATCGAGTCAGACTAAAAGGCTGGAAGATCAAGTAGCATGTGGCCTTTTCATGTCAATAATGGGATTCTCATTGAATTCACGTCAGAGGTACAACATCTGGATTGAACGTACCTCGTATAACAAAAAATCAATTGATTTAGCATGTAACTGCCCTGCTGTTTCGTACACGCCTACACACAAGCCGTTTGTGAAATAAATGCCCAATTGGTACCTTTCCATTGACAAACTTTTGTAACGTCGCTTTTTATAATTATCGTAATTATATCACAGCCATTTTGCTAAAAGGTCAAGGATCAAGGTATAGCTCCGAGTCTAGGATTTGAACCAGAGCCCGGAGAGCTGAGGCGCCTTAGACCACTCGGCCACCCATGGCATGGAATCTTTAATCATTTTGATCTGCAGTAGTACAAATTTGCTTTTACATCTATCGTCCAGTTACGTATGAATCAAATGGGAAACATATTTGGAAAATAAATTATTCTCAAGCAAATATTTTGTATTAGTTTAAGACATGCTCTGCGTTTAATGTAACCTATCCCAGTACGAAAACGTCGAGAAATGGTTTGGTTCCTATACTGAGGACTTCGGTCGACTCTGCAACGTCGGCAATATAACAATTATGTGAGGCACAGTAACACTACATCATCTTATTTGGTTTGTGGAGACATTTCATTCGTTTGTTTGTTCTAACCAGGATCTTCACGGGTTATATTTCAGTGGTAACGGGACTGGGTAACTGAGAAGTAGAGTCTGAAATAAACATGTTCTCTTACGTTCCATCTTAATCAATCTGCCAACTTGTTCATTTTACGGGAACGTATGCAAGCCATGGATCATAACACGGACTTTCGAACCCCCGTTAAGTGGATCCAGTCACGGTTAAGGGACACAACTCTGCACATGGAGATCGCGATACGCTGGAAAACTTTGCCAATACTACCCAACGTTTACTAATTTCCCAGTCTGAATATGTCCCTATTAAAAGTTTTCAATGACATGCGATCTACTAAACACATTCAGTGTCATATTCATTGACTTCAAATTCTATCTCGTGTATTACCCATCCCTCTGGGGCCGCCTATTTAACACCAATTACATCCGTGGGTTTTAATTACTGCTATTTTTCCGAGTGCCTCTCGAGACTGGACAGCGAACCTGTCACTGAAAGGACGACGGGATATGGGTCATTGCAGATGACCCCGACCAACCCGGACCGGAAGTTGAGGAAAGCTCCACACACAACCGGAAAGCAAGCAGCCGTGCTTTGAATCAAGAAATGTTCAAAATGTCGAAATATGTTTCTTTGTTGAAGAAACGGAAAGAGATGTTAGTTTATTTGATGACACGTGAGTATCGGTCACTTAGTTTATATATTATTCATGTCAAGTATGCTTCCATTCAACGCTACTTTAATCACTTGGAATAATAAACATTCAGTTCCCCCAAATTCTTGATGTCCTCTGCCGGAGTTATGGCGGGAATAATGATAGATGCGTAAAACCATTCGCACTTACTATAATTCAAGATACGTGTCCTTATAGGTTTCAACGATCTTAAATACATGTTTTCTGATGCATTATTCAATCTAATACAATCATTATAAAGTCACGTTTTTGAAAACAAATTATTTCGCTTATCTTTGTGTCATTCATATAATATACATCGTATATTGTACATGTGTATATGTTTGTTTGTTGTTTAACGCCGCACTCAGCAATATTCCAGCATTATGACGGCGGTCTGTAAATAACCGTGTCTGGACCAGACAATCCAGTGATTGATATCATAAGCATCGATCCACGCAATTGTGATACGATGACATGCATCAACCAAGTCAGCCAACCTTGACCACCCGATCCGATTAGTCGCCTCTAACGACAATCATAGTCGCCTCGTACGGCAAGCATGGGTTGCTGAAGACCTATTCTACCCCGGATCACAGGTCACATGTGTTTGATAAGGATACAAACATTCGTCAATTTGAGTACACCATCAAAGACGCACGATAAACTTACAATTCATGGAAGAGGAAGTATTATATAATTACAGCTGTGTTATATGATTATGAAAGGCTCTGCTTACATGTTCCTGTTAAGCTATTCAGCATGACAGTGCCGCTTGGTGTGTAGGGAGTACGTGACACAGTGGCTTGGTGCACAGAACGTACGTGACGTCCTTCTAACTGAATTAATGCGAGTAATGAAACTCCTCAAGTGCCAAATAATTTTTTTGTTGGAAAGAGCTTTAACGATTTTCAGTTCATGAAGTTAGGCCAAATAAAAAAAGGGCTCTTGTTTTTCATGAAGTTTTTCAAACCTGACTAAGTCGGTAGGTTTTTTTTTGCTATTTTATATTTTTTTAGTAGATTACAAATGTACAAAAGTCAACGTGATTGCAATGTACCACCTAATTACTTCCCCTGCGGTTCGAGTGGGGCGGTCGGGTAGCCTAGTGGTTAAAGCGCTCGCTCGTCACGCCGAAAACCCGGGTTCGATGCCCGACATGGGTACAATGTGTGAAGCCCATTTCCGGTGTCCCCCGCCGTGATATTGCTGGAACATCGCTAAAAGCGGCGTAAAACCATACTCACTCACTCGAGAATATGAAGTCATGTTCCCTAGGCTGCCCTGCGATTCCGACATAATTTATTTGAAAAGCATGTGCAAAAAGTTAGAATCTGGTACAAAAACGGAATTAGATTTGAAATGTCATCCCCGGAGTCAGCACTGATTTTCACTGATCTATTCCTATTATCTTTCACAGCTATTTTTCCCTTTTACGTCCAATGGAATCTATTCCGGAGACTGGTTATGCTCTGGTCATATTAACAGTGCTAAAACGTGAAAATTAGGGGTACGGGAAATATGTGAGAAACAAGAACTTCAATTCAACCAGCCTTAATTAAGACTGTTCAGACGTAGCGGTGTGGTGTTCGATGGAATGTACATCATATTACATATTTCCCTGGTTGTTTGAACTAAAATTGCTGTGTTAGTGATTTCTATACGCGATCGTAATTGGATTGAGTGAGTTGGGTTTAACGCCGCTTTAACAGTATTCCAGTTACATCGCAGCGTGTCAGCTTAATGTGAGAGGAAAGCCCGAAGTGATGCAGGTCTTAGACGTATACCACTTCGGTGAAACCCACGAGCACGGGTATGGTGCTGAGAAACATAATCGGGTCGAACCGGGATTCGAACCCTCAATCATAGGTCTCTGGCGCGCCCAAGGGACGCAACTCTGCACAGCGAATCTGGGTCACCCGTGCCCCCCGTGATTGGACACTGTGATGTGAAATGTTGATTTGACAGGAAGATGCGATTAGCTTAGGTTTCGTTCAACAAATGTTAAAATATTGTATATTTCAAATTAGATAAAATCAGTGATTAGCTATTCCAGGATTAAAGAATTATGGCTTAAAATAGTGTCAAGTTATATACATATCCAGCAGTAATTGTCCGGAATGAAGGGTTTCCGAATTGGCGGGGTCAAAACTAACACGGTTTCAGATTCTCAACACAACTAACCGTGCTTTCACTGCATTAACCTTTGTCGTCTTAGTTTTGTGTTACTGTGTACTTTACTGTCGCCTCGTGGACAGACAAAATATTAGTAATTAACGGTGTTGTTACTAGTAGCAGTAGCAGTGGCAGTAGTAGTGGTAGCAGTTGAAGTAGTAAGAGTTTGGACGGTAGTAGCAGCTGGAGTTGTATTAGTAGCAAGTGCACTACCATAGAAAATATATGTTGTTTGGTTTGGTTTGTTGTTTAACGCCGCACTCAGCAATATTCCAGCTATATGACGGCGGTCTGTAAATAACCGAGTCTGGACCAAACAATCCAGTGACTGACATCATGAGCATCGATCCACGCGATTGGGATACAATGACATGCATCAACCAAGTCAGCGAGACTGACCACCCGATTCTGTTAGTCGCCTCTTACGACAAGCATGGGTTGCTGAAGACCTATTCTACCCCGGATCTTTACGGTTCCAAAGTCCATGGGCGGATACAGACCTTTTTATTTCGATTTTTTTTTATTCCTGTATAAATTACTACCAAAGACAATAAATAGATCTTAATTGTGCACCATGACCCCATGACGTGGGATTTCACTGTTAATAATATTCTCATGAGTTTGTGATATGTACTATACAACACTAAAATATATAAAGACTTGCTACGTGGTATACCACGTCAACAATCCTGTCCCTATCTGCAACATCAAACATAAGACCGATACGTTATCGCTACTAAATTACCAATCAAACTTGGATAATTGAACCTACTTCACAAACCAAAGTTATCTAATCAACCACAGATTGACAAATTTATACTCACGATAATAATGCTTGTCTTGAAATAACCTTGTTTAGACTCCGGCCGAACGAAACACCTTCCCCAAATCGGCAGAAGCCTTTGATCTCAACCGCATGAAATAGATACCGCCGGATGATAGACTGTTGTGTATTGCACGTGGAAATATACTGTTACGTATTGCATCGAGATATGTCAATCAATCAAAAACGGGTAATTTGTTTGTCTGACAGGTCATGTTTATTTCACTCAAGGGTGCAGGTGGACAAGGATTTTGTACTTTGCGCCCTAGTTTAAGTAGATTGTTTTATCGGCCCTCATATTCGTGAGCATAGAAGCGCTTCGCTATGTTGGTGTTGACGAGTATCTAACGACCAGGGTGTTTGTCTTAAGTCTATGTTAAAGTATGGGAACAAAGATCGCCTTAGCGCTTAGATCGCTTTGTAGAACGGGGCCCTGGCAGAACAATACACACAGCAAAAAAAAAGCAACGAATGTATGGAATTATATTTTAGGTTTTTGTTACATTACTTTTATTGAGCATTTAATGAATGTTCATACCGATTTATCAGTCATACTATTTTATGAAATATGCCTAACCTATTCAATGGTTTAGAACTATATCTTTTTAACCCCAGAGTTCTTCGCATCTCGTTTTGTGCGAAAAAAGCAACCAGAACCAGTTCAAGCTTTATTTATATAAGAAACGCGTAGGACCCGTGAAGATTCCGGAGTAGAATAAGTCTTCAGCAACCCATGCTTGCCGTAAAAGGCGACTAACGGGATCGGGTGGTCAGGCTCGCTGACTTGGTTGATGCATGTCATCGATCCCAACTGCGTGGATCGATGCTCATGATATTAATCACTGTATTGTCTGGTCCAGACTCGATTATTTACAGACCGCCGTCATATAGCTGGAATATTGCTGAGTGCGGCGTCAAACAACAATCCAAACCAAACCAAACCAAAAAGAAACGCGTAGTGTTTTAAATTATATTTTTTACCATATTCGACCTATATTCCATCAATCATCATAAGTTCAAAACGTCTCTTGTTTTAGCGAAACGGACACGTGATCAATTGCATACAAACGCATACAAATATAAGATACTGTGACAATGATTTGATACTCTGGATGAGCTCTATGGAAAAATAGGGTTTCATTGTGATGTAATCTTAAACAAAGACCATTGTTTTGAAGTAAACTGCTTCCTGAAATATACTACTTTCGAATCCTCATTGGAATGGTCCACTCTGTGTGACACTGTGTATGCGTACTGCCTCACCTGTGAACATTATGTCAACGTCTTGCGCGCGTTTTCACTAATTCAAACCTTTATGTGCGTTATGCCAGGGTGGTACGTATTGTAAATATTCACTCAATGTTTCTACGTGTACAGGACCGCTGAATCAATCTAGAAAATTTACAAACATAAGTATAAAGTATAAAAATATACCCTAAAATATTCAAGATCCCTAACTTTTTGTTCAGTTTTTTTTGTATCAACCTCAATCCTTATATGTGGTAAGCGAATGTTTACAGAAAAATGAAATCCAAATTGTTATATGAATAAAACGGTCATTTCAAAGAAGGAGTATAGTATATTACTCATGCTTGCATTAACAAGCAAGTGTTCAGCTTATACACAGTACAAACACTTTACTATCAAGTACCAAATGTTGATACACTTAATCAAGCTTCCTTGTGTAAACACGAGCTATGTTTCATTAACATCAATTCCTTTGCATTCAGAAACAGTCATAATGTCCAATTCCATGAAGTCAGAGGTACAGGAACTCTCATCTAGATTGCATTATGATGCAACACACAAAATTCCAAGATTCATTTCTCAAATATGATAGCTGATATTATTTCTAATCATTCATTTTCTGTCATGACAATTGTCATAAGCGGTTTAATAATGTGCTACAGTGTAGATCTGAAGATTAAATCCTTATATAGGTGATATTGAGTGTTGGTTTGAGGGGAACCCCTTTCAAAGTTAAATTTAAAGAGTGTTTCATCCGTTAAAAACAGTTATCGGTTATAGTTACGGTAAGTCAGTTAATTATTCTGTCATAAAGGTACTTGTCTGCTACAATTAATATCAAAACCCAGCATTTAGGCCGTAGGGAATAGACAGACATACAGACAGATTTGGTTCGTATATGGCCAAGGGGCCAATAGTACAATCATAATGAAATTTTGATGTAGGACAGTTCGTCGTGGAGCACCACTTGTATATTATAACTGAATAGATGTACACATTTGAGTTTTATCAATATTAAATGAATCATCCTTCTTTCCAATATCTTATTGACAAAAAACTGCAAGTATGGATTATATTTCTGTTCAACGTCCTTTTTATAACAGTAATTCGGGAAGCTTTATTATGTCTTTCACAAAGAGTATTTCGGGAAATGAATGCCTTGGAATATCTGATGTGAATAAAGTGTGGTTTGTTTAATTTTGTTTGGGATAAACTAATATGGTATAAAAACGATTTTGGAGATAGCTATTGCAATGCGATGAAATATGTCAAAAATTGGATGCTACATGTACTTCAAAACACATCCTGTTGCTGTCGAAAATAGAACACGGGAAGCGTTGTTCTGGAGGTAGCCATGACAGATCCGTTATATTCGGAACTAGATGAAAGGCGACAATTTTCATATCTTTTTGTTTGATTGTTTTTGGTTATCTTTTAATATCCTTGTGTGCTGTTTCGTTTGGGCTACATCAATTATCATTCATTATGTGATTATGAGAACCATGAGAGAATGAAATGGTTAAACAATAATTTATTTCATTATACTTCCTCAAACATAATACAAAACGCATTTCCCATTGCGACCTTATACAGACTGAAATAATAATGTTCAAATACGGAATTGCAGTGCAAAAGAGAGTATACGTCCATGTTTGATGGTAGCACAAAAATGAAATGGCTATTCCATGGTGATATATTTGATACAGTAACCACAGTCGATATCATATGCATTTATCAATGAGTATCTCACAACAGGTGACGTGCACATGACGCTTCAAGGAACATGGGGGTCGAAATTTCTCAAGTTCAAGTTCAAGTTCATTTATTCTCAAAAACCCACGTTTGGTGGTACAATCACACATCTCAGCACACATTAACGAGCAGAGTGAAGAGCGAATTTTCAAGTGTATAATTTCTTTTGCCTGGCAATTTATTTCACATACAAATAAACATTGCTTCGGGGTTTTATACCTAAATAACATTAAACGAGAAAGTTTAGGAGTCCAGCTATATTTGAGAGAATATCCGACCCCCAGATGTCTTTATGACTGGGTTCATTATACCATGAAAAAATAAACTGTTTGTATATAAGTAAGAGAATTTATGGATGTCAACTTCTTATTATAAGGAACACAACGTTTCGGAGTATATGCTTACTCCTTCATCAGGTGCAACAATGCTTTGAGGCAGAGAAAATACATATGTACCGGTCTTTGTTGTTCAACAGGTACATATATAAGTTCTCTGCTTCATAGCATTTATTCACCTGATGAAAGAGTGAGTACATACCCCGAAACGTTTTGTCCCTCATAATAAAGAAGTTGAACATCCACAAATTCTCTTCCTTATGTGTATCACTTTTAAATGCCTTTCAAAGACTTGTTCGTATATATGAACTCTAAAAAGACAACATCGTTTACATTTAAAAACAAATTACACTAATAGTATAATGTTCACGATTAAGTCATGACTATGTATATGTAAGAGCTATAATTTAAAGTGATTGTAATTATGTGGCAATAAATTAATAAGGCGTATGTTTTATGAACATATATCGTTCTATTTTGAATATAATTTTCAACAATGAAATTTTGATATATTTGGTTGGTTTGAATATAGGTATTTCAGTGCAAACATTTTTATAATATCCCTATTATTTGTTTTTATTTATTTATTAATTAAGATGAATGATAAGAACATACTTTAGAAATGAATATTTGTATACGGTGTTGTCATACTGCGAATGAGTGGAATGTTACTTACAAAATAACTACGGTTTGTTTGAGTTTAAAATATGGTATGAAGATCAAATTAATGGGTAGAAAAAAGCGTCTGTCTCAATCACTGTCTCTTCTTTACTTCACGAAAAACCACCAGCGGCGCGAACAGTGCCATTAATCAGCTTAAAGTAAACCTTAGGGGGTACACGTTTGTCTGAGCTACCATCAAATTGTCTTCTTTCAAAATAAAGGTGAACGAACCAAGAATTAATTTCGGCATGTGTGAGAAGTATATATACAAAGAACACTCACATTCCTGCCTGTGGTATCGGATACTAAACACTAAGTACACCCCGAGTGGCGAAAGCTATCCCAGCTTTTAAAACTAAGCGTTTTCCAATCTTCACCTTGTTGTGGTGGACAAAGGTTAAGACACTTAAAGTCAGAAACAAATAAACCTTGATGTGTTTTGAGAAACAAACAAATCACTCACGGTTAGATATCTGTCTTCGCAGGAACTGGGTTTCAGGGTGTAATTTCACTCTGGGCCTGGAAAACTCACCTCACGTCAGGAGTGATAAATGTACTGCACCATCAGACAAACTTACCCATCCAGACCCCTATAAAGGGTAGCTCGATTTAATCAAATGCTAACAGTTTAATTGAACATCATGATTACACAGCGACTGGGAGGGGCACAGGTGGGGGATGGGGGGGGGGGGGGGTATTCAGAAACGAGGGGTGGGGGGTACAAGTTAACCTACAATGGGTTCTGTTGATCTTAATTGTCTCTTGTAATATGTTATGTAAACAACATGTCGGCGTGGATGCGATGGCAAATGGTAAGGGTTATTACAATGATTACAATCCTTATTAATGCATTTAGTAAGCGGGGCGATATGATACGACGCGAGGGGAAGGGGCAGGCCTCGTGATAAGGCATTATTAATGTTTAAACAAGTAATGATGGCAGACCGAGGGAGAGATGCAAAGCCAGTCTGCCGCCCTCTAGATCTGACTGGGATCCCGGAAGGCGGACCGTCCCGATCATGACTCCTTTCTAAACATTTGTGGGTTAAGGTGTTGTAATTATCGTGACTAAAAGCCTATGGTGGCAGGCGGTGTAAAAGATATTGCTGTATTAACACCTTGTCACAATGTAGCACCTTCGTGCGAATGTATTTATACACGATAAAGACTCGGCCATGTCAACCACCAGTTCTACGTGATCTTGTTCGATGTTCATTTTGGGACAAAGGAATATAAATGATATGACATTTAAAAGTTATAGAGACATACAGAATTAAGGAAGAGAATTTATGGATGTCAACTTCTTAATTATACGGAACACAACGTTTCGGAGTACATGCTTCCTCCTTCATCAGAGGGAGTAAGCATGTACTCCTAAACGTTGTGTTCCTCATTTAATTTTTCACACATAATATTTTGCCAAGTCCAAGATAATTAAGTATCATATGGAACACAATTTATGGATGTCAACATCCTTATTAAGGAGTGTTCCTCATAATAAAGAAGTTGACATCCATAAATTCTCTTCCTTATGTGTATCACTTCTAAATGCCTTTCAAAAACTTTATTAAGTATCGTTTTGTGGGTGGACACTCTCTTTTTCACTCCAACAAATACTGTATGTAAAGAGGCGACAAACGGGATCGGGTGGTCAGGTGTTGATGCATGTCATCGAATCTCACTTGCGTAGATCGATGCTCATGATGATCACTGGATTGTCTGGTTCAGACTGGATTATTTACAAACCGCCGTTAAACAACAAACAAGCAAAACACATCGTGAGTCTATCTAGTCATATCGCCACACCGACACAGTGACACAAAGCAAGGTATGAATGCAGTAGAGATATTTTATGGAAGACAATTTCATATATTCTATTATGATGTGGTATCCCGGTACATATCCTTATACTGCTCTCAAGCAATAGTGCCAGCGTCGCATCATAATAGAATTAAAAAGTTGTCATCCATAAAATATCTATGCTTACTGTTACTTACCAACTTCTACAGATGCCAGTCAAACAGTTCAAGTTATGAACACAGTTTACGGTTTGTAAGTTTTTCAGCGGCCCACTGCTGTCTTGTATTCGGGAAAAGACCCTAATACAACCACAGCACAAGAACTGATTCATGACCGTCCTCGTATGATGTCTTTGCGACTTAAAAAGCTAATGTATCGTATTTGTTGTTGTTGTTGTTGTTGTTGTTGTTGTTGTTGTTGTTGTTGTTGTTATTATTATTTATCTATTTTTTATTTATTAATTTTTTTATTTATTCACTGTGGCAAGCACATTGTAATTGTATCATTGGTTTCATGGATAAGCTTAAAGTATAAGAGCAAAAAGGTCAAAATATGAAGGTTTATAAAGGAACTAAAAAAACAAAATACATGTACCAACGAAACAGTCTGGTAGTGGAAGCATTTGTAATGAAAGTAGTATATGTGGTAGTAGTTATAATGGAAGCAGTAGCTGTGGTAGTGGTAGTGGCAGTGGAATTTGTATATGTGGTAGTAGTTGTAGTGGAAGTTGTATATGTGGTAGTGGTAGTTGTAGTGGAAGTAGTATATGTGGTAGTAGTTGTAGTGGAAGCAGTATATGTGGTGGTAGTAGTAGTATATGTGGTAGTAGTTGTAGTGGAAGTAGTATATGTGATAATAGGTGTAGTGGAAGTAGTATATGTGGTAGTATTTGTAGTGGAAGTAGTATATGTTGCAGTAGTTGTAGTGGAAGTAGTATATGTGATAGTAGTAGTAGTTGTAGTGGAAGTAGGATATGTGGTAGTAGTTGTAGTGGAAGTAGTAAATATGGCAGTAGTTGTAGTGGAAGTAGTATATGTGGTAGTAGTTGTAGTGGAAGTAGTATATGTGGTAGTAGCTGTAGTGGAAGTAGTATATGTGGTAGTAGTTGAAGTGGAAGTAGTATATGTGGTAGTAGTTGTAGTTGAAGTAGTATATGTGGTAGTAGTTGTAGTGGAAGTAGTATATGTGGTAGTAGTTGAAGTGGAAGTAGTACATGTGGTAGTAGTTGTAGTGGAAGTAGTACATGTGGTAGTAGCTGTAGTGGAAGTAGTACATGTGGTAGTAGTTGTAGTGGAAGTAGTACATGTGGTAGTAGTTGTAGTCGAAGTAGTATATGTGGTAGTAGTTGTAGTCGAAGTAGTATATGTGGTAGTAGCTGTAGTGGAAGTAGTACATGTGGTAGTAGCTGTAGTGGAAGTAGTATATGTGGTAGTAGCTGTAGTGGAAGTAGTACATGTGGTAGTAGTTGTAGTCGAAGTAGTACATGTGGTAGTAGTTGTAGTGGAAGTAGTATATGTGGTAGTAGCTGTAGTGGAAGTAGTACATGTGGTAGTAGTTGTAGTGGAAGTAGTATATGTGGCAGTAGTTGTAGTGGAAGTAGTACATGTGGTAGTAGTTGTAGTCGAAGTAGTACATGTGGTAGTAGTTGTAGTGGAAGTAGTATATGTGGTAGTAGCTGTAGTGGAAGTAGTATATGTGGTAGTAGTTGTAGTGGAAGTAGTATATGTGGTAGTAGTTGTAGTGGAAGTAGTATATGTGGTAGTAGCTGTAGTGGAAGTAGTACATGTGGTAGTAGTTGTAGTCGAAGTAGTATATGTGGTAGTAGTTGTAGTGGAAGTAGTATATGTGGTAGTAGTTGTAGTGGAAGTAGTACATGTGGTAGTAGTTGTAGTGGAAGTAGTATATGTGGTAGTCGTTGTAGTGGAAGTAGTACATGTGGTAGTAGTTGTAGTGGAAGTAGTATATGTGGTAGTAGCTGAACTGGAAGTAGTACATGTGGTAGTAGCTGTAGTGGAAGTAGTATATGTGGTAGTAGCTGTAGTGGAAGTAGTACATGTGGTAGTAGCTGTAGTGGAAGTAGTATATGTGGAAGTAGCTGTAGTGGAAGTAGTACATGTGGTAGTAGTTGTAGTCGAAGTAGTACATGTGGTAGTAGTTGTAGTCGAAGTAGTACATGTGGTAGTAGTTGTAGTGGAAGTAGTATATGTGGTAGTAGCTGTAGTGGAAGTAGTACATGTGGTAGTAGTTGTAGTGGAAGTAGTATATGTGGCAGTAGTTGTAGTGGAAGTAGTACATGTGGTAGTAGTTGTAGTCGAAGTAGTACATGTGGTAGTAGTTGTAGTGGAAGTAGTATATGTGGTAGTAGCTGTAGTGGAAGTAGTATATGTGGTAGTAGTTGTAGTGGAAGTAGTATATGTGGTAGTAGTTGTAGTGGAAGTAGTATATGTGGTAGTAGCTGTAGTGGAAGTAGTACATGTGGTAGTAGTTGTAGTCGAAGTAGTATATGTGGTAGTAGTTGTAGTGGAAGTAGTATATGTGGTAGTAGTTGTAGTGGAAGTAGTACATGTGGTAGTAGTTGTAGTGGAAGTAGTATATGTGGTAGTCGTTGTAGTGGAAGTAGTACATGTGGTAGTAGTTGTAGTGGAAGTAGTATATGTGGTAGTAGCTGAACTGGAAGTAGTACATGTGGTAGTAGCTGTAGTGGAAGTAGTATATGTGGTAGTAGCTGTAGTGGAAGTAGTACATGTGGTAGTAGCTGTAGTGGAAGTAGTATATGTGGAAGTAGCTGTAGTGGAAGTAGTACATGTGGTAGTAGTTGTAGTCGAAGTAGTACATGTGGTAGTAGTTGTAGTGGAAGTAGTATATGTGGTAGTGGTAGTTTTTTTGACGTGACGATTTTATGTTTGATTCACGAAGTAGGATAAGGAAGCTGATTGACTGTATTGATTGACTGACCAGAGCGAAATGACACAATCACAATTAGGTAAGGCGTACAAGGTTCTGTTGTGACCAATACTGGGTAAAGGCGACCTACCCTGGTATATGTAGGTGCAGGATACAGGGTTCTGTCGTGACAAATACTGGGTAGAGGCGACCTCCTCTGGTATATGTAGGTGCAGGATACAGGGTTCTGTTGTGACAAATACTGGGTAGAGGTGGCCTACTCTGGTATATGCAGGTACGGGATACATGGTTCTGTCGTGACAAATACTGGGTAGAGGCGACCTCCTCTGGTATATGCAGGTACGGGATACAAGGTTCTGTCGTGACAAATACTCGGTAAAGGCGACCTACTCTGGTATATGCAGGTACGGGATACAAGGTTCTGTCGTGACAAATACTGGGCAAAGGCGACCTACTCTGGTATATGTAGGTACGGGATACAGGGTTCTGTCGTGACAAATACTGGGTAAAGGCGACCTACTCTGGTATATGTAGGTACAGGATACAGGGTTCTGTTGTGACAAATACTGGGTAGAGGCGACCTACCCTGGTATATGTAGGTACAGGATACAGGGTTCTGTTGTGACAAATACTGGGTAGAGGTGGCCTACTCTGGTATATGTAGGTACAGGATACAGGCCCAGGTGTGACAAATACTGGGTAGAGGCGACCTACCCTGGTATATGTAGGTACGGGATACAGGGTTCTGTCGTGACAAATACTGGGTAAAGGCGACCTACTCTGGTATATGTAGGTACGGGATACAAGGTACTGTTGTGACAAATACTGGGTAGAGGCGACCTACTCTGCTATATGTAGGTACGGGATACAGGGTTCTGTCGTGACAAATACTTGGTAAAGGCGACCTAGTCTTGTATATGTTTGTACAGGATACAGGGTTCTGTTGTGACAAATACTGGGTAAAGGCGACCTCCTCTGGTATATGTAGGTACGGGATACAGGGTTCTGTTCTGGCAAAGGCTGGGTAAAGGCGACCTCCTCTGGTATATGTAGGTACGGGATACAGGGTTCTGTTCTGGCAAGGCTGGGTAAAGGCGTCCTACTCTGGTATATGTAGATACGGGATACAGGGTTCTGTTCTGGCAAAGGCTGGGTAAAGGCGACCTACTCTGGTATATGTAGGTACGGGGTACAGGGTTCTGTCGTGACAAATACTGGGTAAAGGCGACCTACCCTGGTATATGTAGGTACGGGATACAGGGTTCTGTTGTGACAAATACTGGGTAGAGGCGACCTACTCTGGTATATGTAGGTACGGGATATAGGGTTCTGTTCTGGCAAAGTCTGGCATAGGATTCTGGCAGAACTGAGGGACGCAACTTTTTACAACGTAGTGCTGCGCCTAAGACGACTGGACCACCATGACACCCCTCTTGCCCTCTTCTGTCTGCTTCGTGTATACAGGTAACTGTATCGTTCGGATAAGCCCTGCCGTTTCTGTGATATTTTAATCCGAAACCGAAGATTCACTTTCAAGGCCATCAGCTACAAGGTTCCCTACTGGCTACAGTGAAACCTCTTAAACTCAAACACCCATAATCTTAAAAGATTGTTAAAGATAATATTAATGTTTAGCCCCGACAGAATCACGAAAGGCATTGAAATCGCTTGTATCAAACTACGGACAACTTGACACATATTCGATGTCCCCATTGAATACAAATGACGTCCCATCCAACTAGTACTCTAACAAATTTCTGAGGTCAAAATCAACGTCAAGGTGTTAAAGGCTAGCAGGATGTAAATGATGGAAAAAATTGAAATAGATTTATCAAATGACTTTAAAAAAAATGTTATTATACTCATTTCCTTTCATTGTCCATTTTAGATCCTTCCTGTAACTCGCATTTTGTGTCAATGGTGATTTCACTGCAGTTGAAACTTTTCGAAGAGAAGCTATAAGTCAATGTTCAGCTCGGGCCCAGTCCTCGAAGGCGCCTTAATTCGCTGTGCAGAGTTGCGTTCCTTGGGTCCGCCAGAGCCTATGGTTGTGGGTTCGAATCCCAGCTCTCCCCGATTATGTTTCCAGGTTTGTGAGCACCATACCCGTTTTCATGGATTTCACCAACATGGTAAACGTCTGAGACCTGCGTCACTTCGATGTTTTCTCCCCCATATAGATTACACGCCGTGATATAACTGCAATACTGTTCAAAGCAGCGTTCAACAGAATTCACTCACTCACTAATGTTTAGTTAGTCAGAAAGAAATACACATGCGTGTACCACTAATCGTTTTGATGTTGATACTTCTTATTAAAACGTGTGATTAATTCAATTTGTCATGGATTCACCTGTTTAGTGATAGGGGGCACGGGTGGCCCAGTCGTCTAAGGGGTCCGCTATTCGCTGTGCAGAGTTGCGTCCCTTGGGCACGCCAGAAACCTATGATTGGGGTTTTGAATCCCGGTTCGCCCCGATTATGTTCCTAGGTTTGTCAGCACCATACCCGTGCTCGTGGGTTTCACCGAAGTGGTAAACGTCTGAGACCTGCATCACTTCGGGCTTTCCTCCCACGTTAAGCTGAAACGTCGCGATATAACTTGAATACTGTTATAAGCGGCGTTAAACCAAACTCACTCACTCACTCACTCACTCACTCACTCACTCACTCACTCACTCACTCATCACTCACTCACTCACTCACTCACTCACTCACTCACTCATCACTCACTCACTCACTCACTCACTCACTCACTCACTCACTCACTCAGTTTAGTGATAATTAATCATTAACACATCCTCATCATATAGCCGGAATCTCACAATCGGGTTTTGTCGCTTTTATTATATATATCAAATATAATTTACACTCAACCCCATCACCTACGTCATATAATTGAAAACTTTTATTAACTTTATCAACCTGACAATTGTATTATTGCCCGGCGAAAATTAGTTTAAATTATTTCCTTCTTCGAGAAACAGAGATGCATACTTAACTAACACCTTTTAATCAGGTTATTTCACACTTTAGACTGTTGACTCTGCTACTTGTGTAAAAAACGAATATAGATCGGAAATTCTAAAAACCCTATCTGAATAAATTCGTATTTATTTACAGAGATTGACTTTTTATTTACATATTAACCCCGCGGTGCAGGATTATTTACATTAATGCAGTTCCTTATGACAAGCTCCGTCAATGGTATTTGAAATCTCAGCGGGTTTTAGCACTGGATGGCTACCGTCATGAACACATCAAGATTGATGGAGCGTCTATTTATGCCTCCGCAGTAATCCATCTGTGAATTGCGTTTACGAATTAGCCTTGTGCGCTACAGTTTTCCTCACAGCTTGAGAGTTAATCTTATTACATATCGCTTACATCTAATGCTTGAATTTGTTTTCATTATTGAGTGCTAGTTTGATAAAATTTGACATAAGACGTTGATTGTTTTAAGATTTTAAAGACATGCAGCGGCACGAGATAGGGCAAGTTCAACCGGTATACATCTTTTCAAACATTCTTGGAATTACTATATTTTCCATTTTTTGACAAAACACATGTAATGATATTATTATTAAATATATGCTCAAAGTATCATCTACAATTTGAAATACTCTACTTGTATGTTGCCTCATGAAGAACGTAAAGTCCACAAAGGTTCAGAAAGGGTGTTTCATGGGGAAATCAATTTACATTTCTTGATGAAATATATTAAACTTAGCAATTTGTTTACTCAGTTTGTTGTGATATTAATTCTTGGCCGCAAGAACAGCGGTATTGACATTTTTTCGCACTTTCGCCATCTTGGATCGAAAACGAGGCTTGGAGAGCATAGCTCCCTGCGGAGTGAGTTGAATCAGCAGATAGGGAACAGAGAACATGTTGTGATGGAGACTCCGTGTCCCCGCATTTAATTTAAGGCCATTTTAAACAAAATATGGTATCTCCTGTGTCTCATACAGAAGATATTGCATATTTAATCCTGAGGTGCAACTAAAATATGCTTGTAACGCACTGGAATTCGCATTTTGCTGCCAAGATTCCGGAATAAATCAAAAGGTGCATTTCGAGATACATATTTCGGAAATAGATTGTTTTATCACAACCTCGTCGGCATATGTATGCAGTGTGATAGCATACTTAATGACTAAATTTGTGTATCGTAAATCAAACTGCATAACATGAAACACGTCCTTGTATTTTGCTAATTTGCTCAGTCAACGCATGGCTTGTCCAACTCTGGATTGTCATGTTTACGAGTTATGGTGGTGTTTGCGGCACGACTCACTATCGTTTTGCAATGAGTCCAGTTGGCGTAAGGCACCGTTTATGCTATGATTTTCATCCAAGCATATTACGATGTAAATAGTTTACAATAGAACTCGTGCGTCAAAATAAATATTCAGAAGGGGCGATAACTCTATTCAGTTTGTACAATGACAGATGAAGCTTTACTTTTCCTTTAAGCATCACTTGTTTAACCGATTAAGACTGCATCGTGCACGACAAAAGTAAGAATGTGTGGATTTTTCAAACTAACTTAAAATGAAACTTAAAATTAAAAAAATACAGATATTGCATGAAATAGAAGAAACATAAGAATTGAAACAAAAAAGCCACTCCTTGAACACCCTGACCTAAGCCTATGAAGATAGGGATTTATATACCAAAAGGAGGCTACTAACACAATTATCCTGAATTGTATGAAAATGTCTTGATCTGATATGGGTACAGCTAAAATAACAAAATATTAAAAGGAATCAACTTCAACCGGTAACTCACTCACTCTCTCAAACCCCCGTTTATACTGAAGCTTACTTTCCTTAAGGCGAGTTGAGGTGAAATTGGGTTTAACGTCGCGTCCAAGATTATTGCACTTATATAGCGACGTGCATGTACGTGTGTGTGTTTGTGTGGCTGCT